CCAGACTACACAGCGCAACAACCCAGAAGACAGAAATCTTCATACTCATCGCCCTGATGACGGAGGCAGTATGACCTCTGAAACGGTGGTTAACATCGACCAGACTACACAGCGCAACAACCCAGAAGACAAAAATCTTCAGACTCACCGCCGTGAAAACCTCAAACTCAAGATCAAGGGCAATGTAATTTTACAGCCAATTATTTTTATAATTATACCTGTAGATATACATCCATAATTACTGAGCATTATCTCTTTCATTTCTCTTGACGTTTTAGTAATTAATCTGAGAAAGTCCGTAGCCCAAAAATAATTACCGAAGCAAAACTGTACTGACCCACTGCAATAACAGACTGCTGCTCTACCATGCAGAAAGCAGAAAGCTGTTCCCAGCAGTCCATAACAGTCACAAAGAAAACCAGCCTTTACGGGCATTGTCACAGAAATACGTAGGCAAACCACGTTTCCTATGTAGCCTTCTTCCAATCAGTTACAAACTCATATAGACATGACTGACTTCAACATTATTCTTATCTTGGATAAGACGTTTCTATGACAGTGTAACTTTCGACTGTCATATTCTCGCGACATTGTTTTGTCTTATAGCTGATTACCAACACTTTAGAAGAACGGCCTCCATCTTCGAAGTAAAAGTCTTCATCTTAAATGTAGATTTATACCTTTAAAGCAGTATGTTCCTCTGAACCGTTGGGTAACCACCAAAAAGATAATAAAACGTCACAAAACAGAAGGTCACAGTCAAAATTCATCATAGATTACTCTTACTGGGCCTTACATTATAAGTACGCACAAATATCTTGGTAAGTATTCTTCGATAGAAAGATAGGTTCTTTCGAAAACGTGACAAAATGACGGACTTTTGAAAACTGGTTGATTCACGAATTTATTTTATGCATTTATAATTCACTAAAATGATAACACTGTCCCAAAAGATGTTTCAGTATGCTCCTGTCCAATGAAATCAACGTACGCTACCAAAATTAGATCCTCCCTATTACGACACAAATTTCTTGTGTAAGCATTAAAAATAATGAAGAATTTATTTCACACGCTCAAAAGTAATCTCTTATAAAGCTGAAACTAAATATATAATTATGCTACAAAACTGCACTAAAATATTCAAAATGTATTAACAAATCTTTTACAAATGTTTCGAAATGTAAAGACGTGGGAACAACAAAAACATATAACAGTGAACTTCACGATTAAATTACATAAAAATGTTCTGGAAATCCTTGTTAATATTCGGTTAAATGTTTACCAATATCAAACCTACTTTCAAAAATAAACTCAAAATATATAAAAAGATCATACGTAATCTGCAGACGGAATTACAAATGACACAACATATCTTCATATTACAACAACATTACAATTAGAGCGAGTACTCAAAACTACAAACCGAATTAAAACTCTAAATTAACAACATAAGAAGAAAACTGATTTCAATGCAGCCTAAACCCAATGAAGATTTCCTTTACTTTCTTGGTTTACATTCTCACATAAAATGGTCGTTAAAACTGAAATGGCTTGACAATCAATCCTTCATCAGAGTGTAAAGTATAAAATTTCATCACGATTTGTTGGTCCGTTCTCGAGTGTTTCACACGTAATGGCAGACAGACATGAGAACGGTAGTGGGGAGGGATTTCGGATGGTCAGCAGGGTTGCAAACGTGCATAAAAAAAACTTCGCTCACTTGTTTTGTTAGACTTCAAAACACGGTTTCTTACCCACCAAAATTCATAGATTACAAGTGTTTGAAAACAACGCACTGCAGAATCAATGGAATTGAGAAGAAATACGTAAATGGGTAATTCAGTACAGGCAAATGAGAAATATTTTAAAACACTTTACGATTTAGCTCCGTGTGACTTCTTCCTCTTCCCAAAGATGAAAATTCAGCTAAAGGGAAGGAGATTTGAGACGATAGAAGAGATTCAGGCAGAATCGCAGATGGTGCTTGACAGGCTGACAAAGAAAGATTTCCAGGGATGCTTCCAGGCTTGGCAGCGGCGCTGGGATCGTTGTGGTCACTCCCAGGGGAACTACTTCGAGGGTGATGGATGAATTGAATACCTGAGATAAGTGTACGGGTTTTTATACGAGTAGTCTGGAAACTTTCCGATCGCACCTCGTATAAACTACTGTGGCATTTGAACCGTGGTAAATGTAAGATACTTTGTTAGTTTAAAAACAAATGAAGAAATATGATTATCTTAAATTAATTCGGAATGGATAAGATAGATTAAAAAAAATTAAACGAAGTTTCCAAATGTGCTTTTTGAGATTTTCCACCCGATTACTGGTTTCGATGTTAATTTCTTGCTGATACAAATTTACTGTTAACAATCTAATCGACATTAAACATATTTCACAGTATAAAATAATAGGTCTATACATAGCCATATAGACAGGTTCCTACTTGGGGTAATCACGCAGTTGTGAAAGGTCATAAAATGCAAATAAAACTTGAGGGGGTGGATGCATATTGGAAAGTGGCCAACTGGGGCAAACGTGGGCGACTTGACACCACTATATTTGTCGGGGGAATTAGTGGCTTCCGAAGATGGAGGCGGAAGAAACTGGTTCAGTATCGTATTCATCTGCAGGCTTTCGAATTACAAGTGTTGCATCTTTACGACATGACGTAGCAGCTTTGTTCATGGCAACTGTCTACGTGCCAATGCAATCTACAATATTTCACCGTGTCAAACACAACAAGTTAGGAAATGCAAATACAGCGTAACAATTCTATCACATTTGTTCTGTTATGGCCTCTAGATTTTCTAGGCTCTTTTGACAAACTTTCTATTCTGCCCTATAAACAGCGTACAAAATGTAATTAAAATCAGTAAAATCATCGAGTCATGAGTTGGAAAATTTTAAATAATATTTCAGTAAAATTATGCCGGAAACTACAAAATTACGGTAATAGTGCAATAGACATAAACCGAGTGTTTTGCTTTTCCCTATCACGTTTAGCGACACACACGCGTGTATATCTTCGTCCGTTGACTTAATCCAGTTTTAACCAAAACTGAAATTCGCCGACAAACTTTAGTAAAAGTCCCCCCCAATATCAAATTTCATAAGATCCATTCAGCGGTTCTCGATTCGTTACATACTGATGGACAGACAGACCAATCTAAAGACGCAATTTTAGCAACTTCGTTGCAAATGCACCTGAAACTGATTCCATGGCATACTCGTTTGCTCTCTGTATCACACAACTCAAAACTTTGATTTTAAACTCCAGTGAAGTTTCTTCGATGTCTTTAACCAATATTTAATCAACATTCCTTTGTGGTTTTAACAAGTTCTTAAATATTCCATTAATGAGGTTTGCAAAGGGAAAGTTTAGAAGTTTATGAAACCTGAAAAATTATATATTTTTTTCTTTCCGAGCGAGAAACTCAGTGAAATATCTTAGTGCATCTTAAACTTAATTTCCTTGTCTTCAACATAACTTTAATAAAAGCAGCCACGAAGATTTATTTTTCTTATAAATTCCTTCCATTTTAGACTTACAAAGCTTGTTCCATTAACGCTCTAGAATCTCTTTTTAAATCCCAACAACGGTCTTAAAAACATCATCAGTGCTGCTTCTAAAGATTCTCTCTCTCTCTCTCTCTCTCTCTGCTTTGGTTGTCATCTGTTTGCCGAAATGTGTTTATTATGTCCTTCATTAAATTATAACGAGAGCATCATGCCAGAAGCGGTTATTAACAAAATTACGAATATAAAAGTAATTAATTCGTTTGCCATATGTGCATTATTAGAGATCGCACGCCCAAACGTATCTGTCTGCATCTTTGTGTAAGACAACATCAGCACTACACCCTTCTGGCATGAAACCCTCGTTATGTTTTCACTTTATAACCAACTACTGTCCTTTTCAAACGCTGTAACTCCGTATCGTATTCAATGATCTTTCCTTCCATCGATAATTTTAGGTTATGTCACATATTATAGTTTTTTTTATTATTTTTGGCGTTGAAAGTTGCAAGTTTCTCTTCAACTGTTTTTAAGTGGCGGCGTGCTGAAATAAGCCAAGGAGATTAATGAATATAATCACTTCTTACAAGCTCAGGTTGCTTTCACAATTATACTGACGACAAAGATTTCCTGGCATCGTTCAGTGTGTCTGTAATGTTTACAGAATAAACTAATACAACGTACAATGAGCACTGGCTGTATGACATCGATAAATAACAATCATCCTATTTGGGCAGTGCCTGGTTAAAGTTCTGGCAGGAACTAGGCGTACTGGTTTTGTATTGTTTCCATCATTTCAACCACGCCGATGCTGAGAAAGTGGCAAATTAAGCAATATACACACGCGCATGCGTGTAATGGGGGCAGATTTTAATTATGGAAAACGCAGAATACATCGACATGTTGGGTCAAAACAAATCTGAAGCCATCATATTTGGTTCAAACGCTGTGATCAGCGTGCCTTCTCCGACTGATGGTCTCTCGCAATAAACGAAGAACACAGATTGTGGGTGTTTGAGAAAGACAAACGAATGAGAAATGGATTTAACATTTTGTTTCCCGCCAAGCGTTAATTTTATTAACTACGTGTACACTTGACTCAACATATCTGCAAGCTTGGGCTACTTCACAGTAAGAGGGGATATCTTGCGACTAGCACAACGCGCCAACTGCGATCACTTAAATGTTGACAGAGATATCAGGTGACCCAGTGCACTTCATACTCGCCTGCTAAGTAATGCAGGAAAGTTAAACCACTGCCGTCCGAGTCGAGGAGTTATTTTTCTCTGAGGTGGGGCGGAGGGGACAGAAGTAGCCTTAATTCGTACGATCCTAGACTACTGTGACAGTTGAATGTTCTATGTCGAGTGGCGCGGTGTGGGACTGGCGGCTACTGCGCGAGGTAAGTCACCTGCATGCGCAAAGATTATACCAACATTGCGCACGAATAATTCTCAAGTTGAACTCTCTTCAGAAGCGACTGAATCATTACATTACGCCGCTAACAAAAATCATATCGTGAGTTTCAAGTGTATTTCTAAGTATGTGTTATGATTGGTGCTCTAAGGCCAGACAGCAGCATGCAACCAGAAAAAAACTCAGGCCTACTATGAACTCATAAACCAATATGTTTTAAGAGTAGAATCTTGACGTCAAGATCTGTGAAAGCAATGGAGAGAATAGATGTGAAATATAATTCAGATTCTAGTGGTAACGAAATGGTGACATTTAAATGAGGGGACTGAAAAACGTGCCAGCAAATGACACCAAGAAATATCTACCCGTGAAATAAAAAGTATCAGTGCACTTAATCGAGTCATTATTTTGTGTCTGTAGAACCTGTTTCATTTATTCAAAGAAAGCAAATCACACAAAACACGAGTGCATTATTTCCAAATGCATTCACATTTATTCTATCTCAGTGTCTAGATATTTACTGTTTTTTTTTACAAATCCAAGGTTGTAAAATTCATTAAAATAACACCGTATTAAAACCGTTCGAAATACAAGTTATAACAGTAATTGTACACCCGTAAGAGTGGCGGGAAAATAGCAAGCAGTGATCTCATAAACATTTATATTTGCAGATTATTTATTTTGTTTTTTCGTTACTTTTGAATCATTTAATAGACCTATTTCATGTTACAACTGAAATATTTAGTCTAAAGAATATTGCCAGCTTTACATTGCATGCACTTATCGGGTTTTTTTAATACGGATCAAGGCCCTCTGAATCTATGCTGTTCTATAAACGATCAGGTTTCGATATCAAATTAATCATGTACACAAGAAAGAGTACAAAGTTTAAGAAGTATGCTGTGTATGCCCATTAGATTGCAATCCAATCGTTTTAGTTAATGAGACGATTAACAAGACGATAACTACGTAAGTCAATAAACAAACCTTATCAAAAAGCATATATCTATTTTACAGATACATTTAGTGTATCGATCTTTTATACGACAGATCGTTTCGGTTTTTCAGAAAATCTATAGAATTAAATACCAGTTTCAGAATACGCTGGCGATGTCTTGTACAGATACGAGCCACAACTACTTTCTGTCCAGACACCACAATACCAAATTTCATCAGATTCTGGTTAACAGTTTCGGGGTTGAAATACGCAGACAAATACACATGTTACCCCGTATTAGCCTAAGCGTTAATTTTACCCACTTCGTAGAATGAGCAGCCGTAAGATACAAAAAAACTAGGATGAATATAATCGATTAATCATTATATAACTGGTGTCACTGTGGACAAATTCTCATGAAACATTTGAAAAGTAGACTATCATAAAAAAATACTTTTGAACCATTAATTCACTTCAGGGCCTCAGTCGACCTCTTAAGTTTTACTACGCTGTAACCAAATCGAAACAAATCTCGATACATCGAAAACATAAACATTTAAGTCACGTTATTCCAAACAACAGAGGCTTAAGACGATCTTACAAGCCGAAAAGAAAGTATTCTTTCTTTTACAACGTTTGAACAGTTTCATATATTTACAAGTACATTATCGACAATTTTACAACTGTTATTAGCAGCAGCTTAAGATTTTATTCTAAAATATACACTAATTAGATTTTAATCAGGACACACATGACAAAAAAGAAAAAAAACACGAAATAAAAGTAACAAATATAAAATGTGCTACTGAATGTTAGGTTAGGTTGACACTAAATCAAAATCAATATAAAACGAAGGAACACAAGCCGACCGCAAGACGTAAGGTCCAAGATGTAGACTTTATTTCTATACTGCGGCCAAAACCAGAGCCAGAAAACGCAAAATAATTTCAGAAAATCGTAAAAGTTTCACTTTAAATACGTAGATAAAACGTCGAGTTTGAATGTAAATAATTAACGATATGGACATAATTTCATGTTACTTTGATTTTGTTGACGAAGGGTAAACGCCAATGATACTTGAAACTGAAAATTTATAAAAATAAATTTAGAAAGTGATCATTTGTCAATGAAAGCTGCTACTGATTTCAATTAACCTACTTACAGACTACAGTCTGGTCTATTCGCATATTACAGTGTACTTCACGCCGCGTCCCACAGAACAGATAAGAAACATCTAGACACGTCTGCCACGAAACGCAGTCATCTGCGAGAATTCTAGGCAAATTTTCACGAACCTTGGGGCTAAAGTCGCGAAGAGTGTAAAGTCGATGAACCGTGGGATCACGTGACGGACTAAAGGGACTTCCCTCCTCACCGCCAAGTTCAACAGGACTGGGGATTCCCCCGAATACAAAGCGGCGAATATATTCCTTTTGGCCTATATATTTATATATTCACTTTGCCTGCCTGTCTGTCACGTCTTCAAAACAACGACCTTGGACATAATTACTGACTTTCATATAACTGTTACCTCTTTTAATTTCAGTGATATGGAGTTTAAAAAAATTCTGAAATCTTAATACACTCCAAAAAGTATAAGATTTCAATCTCATTTAACAACGGTTTATCTAACGATACTACAAGTACCACAAATTAAACTGTTTCAGATTAATTCAAATTAATTAAGATGACTGTCTTCTGGGTTGTTGCGCCGTGCAGTCTGGTACAAGTTTACCGACGTTTCAGAGATCCTTGCTACCTCCACCATAAGGGCGATGACATCTGAAACGTCGGTAAACTTCTACCAGAATACACAACCACCCAGAAGACAGCCATCTTGAGACTGACGCCGTGAAAACCTCAAATCCTTCAAATTAATTAATTTAAAAGATATGAACGCTTAATTGACTCAGGAAAACCACGTAAAGCCAATCACGACAGCCAGGAGCCCCTCCCACTGAATAATAACCAAGACTACCAACCACTTGGAAACAACGTTCGTTAGACATATTAAGTTCCGGGGATATAAAAATGCGTACCTACACGCTCCTATAGGCCTTTTAGGCATGGTGCCGTGGACAAAGGGCAACTTAAATTTAATCTTTTACTGTGAAAGTCGTCACAACCGGAAACGTGACGTCATATCCTATAAACACCGTAAGATAAACTAAGTTTGGACTTGTAACTGAAGAAGAAAATTCGCTGATTCGAAAACACAGACCACACAGAAAGAAACACAACAGAATTTAAGAAAGTGACAATTTAAGTATCGAAATATGGCAATGGATGGCGGGTAATAAATGGAAAAAAAAATATAATAACGATTCAATTCACAACAAATAAATATTTAGCACTTAATTTAAGTTCTGACAGTGGTGACTCTGGTAGCTAGACATGCAAAAGAGGCTTTTGTGGCACCTACGGTGGTGTCAAAAGGGGTCAAATTTTACGGGTTACAGGCCAGTAAATTTCAATCAATAAAAACATACATAATACATCCCTCCCAACAATATTTCAGGATATCGAGAACAAAGCCCTCTCTTGCAGCATGCAATAATGTCATCAGTTACATTATTAAATTACACCAAGCCTGCAGAAGTTATGTAGAAGATGGCAAGGCTCAACATCCTGTCAGCCGTGCTGCTGACCGCAGTCACCACGATGGGGGATCAGCAACCTTACAACTTGTACAAAGTGTCGCTCACGCAGATTGGCTACATTCAGGCAAGTTCATAATTTCCGTTCATTTTATGTTCAAATAATCCCAATATTAACCGCCACGGTGGTCTAGCGGTTAGAACGCTGGCCTTGTAATCCTGGGGTCTCGGGTTCGATTCCCGGCGGTGCCCGAATTTATAACTTGTGTTGGGCAAGGCCGTGGTCTAGGCAACACGGAGTTTTCCTCCGTGGCATCCCAACAATTACTCAATTCACACACAGAAGAAGGCAATGGCAAACCACTTCTGGATCACCTGCCAAGAACGTATATGAACAGGTCCCAGTCCGAGAAAAGGATGGAAGGATCCTGTTCATATGGACCTGTCGTCAGACAGAACACTAATAATAATAAAATCCCAATATTAATAATATTTACTTCCTACTTGGACAGACTCATAATACAGTGCGTTCACCGATAAAGTTGAACGTAATTGTCACTTCCCAGCTCCCGGCAGGAACTGTGTTTTTATGAGCGCTTGGCGGTGAGTCATGCAGTTCCAGCCGGGTGCCGGAAAGTGACAGTTACGTCGAACTTGATTGAACGAACTGAGAAGTTTTTGTGTCTACGTTTTCCGCCCTTTGAATCACTCGACAAATAACGCCAGTCACTTCAAAAATTACTGAGGTCAAAGACATTGGCTGGTGTCATCAAGGAGAATTCTCTATGACTTGCTGGGAATTCCCAATGCGGAGTTTTCCATGTAACCACGGTAACAAAACTAGCGTTGGGATTCCCGACCCAGCAGGTACCAAAATTGTAACGTTATGCAATTATATTAAAACCCCTCACTATCAAAGATAATGAAAGACTGTTAAACAGAAAGAGATATTTGCTTGGGTTCCCCGGCGCGTTTTCCAAAAGCCGTTAGAAAAATTGCTTTTTATTAAACACACTGTCCGTCAGCCTAGAGAAGCCCTCTAGTAATGTGGTGCGCGTGACCGGGCCACTGTACTCTTTCACAAAACATGCGTCCACTCCTAACACTATTCATACACACAATGCACTCTACTGGAATACAATGTGTTTAGAATAGGACTAGGCAGAGTGCGCATGCGCGGTAACATCACGGAATTCCTTGGGGCGCAGACAGCAGCGTTTTCTTTAGAGACACGTGCAAGTGTGTGAGAAAGTTTGCGTACTGTATATTACATAATTACTATAGTTTTGACACACACAGCCTAGTCTTTATGATTTGTTGACTTATAATGCACGTCTGTGGGTCTGCATTTCAGTTCCTCAGGTACCAAGCGACGATACCAGCCCTTCACGACTTCACGTTATGCATCTGGCTGAAGAGTAGAAACTTCAACAACTCACACCCATTTTTCTCATATTCCAGTAAGTTTTACATAACTTAGGTGCTACTTTCACATTATTCTGACCGACACACGTTACAGTTCTGATAATCTGTTGTTCAATTACAAGTAAACCTTCCTCCAACGCGTTTTTTCGTCGCAGATTCGATTATACGCGGTCTGCCAAACATCTGTACTGACATATAATCCTTCCCTAGCAACATCCTACCTCCGAATTTTCCGGATGGGACTGAGAAAAACAATGGAAAATGTTCAAGATTGCTGTTTTATGGAATACTGCGACGTTTCAAAGAAACTCCCGGCGATGCTTAGCCGCATGGAGGCTTCTTCACCGCCTTGATGATGGAGGAAGTAAGGTCCTCCGAAACATTTGTAAACTAATACTAGACTACACGGCGCAATATCCCAGAAGACACCCACCTTCACACTCGCTGCCGTGAGAACCTGAAATCTCACTACTAAGAACCTGTCACAATGAGCACTTGGCCGAAACGGCGAGTCAACATTTCTCGCAAAGTTTTCGGGAGGAACAGAAAACGAGCCATTAAATTGTACATTTGAAATGGAAAGTTGGAACAAATATCGCAGTCTGTCGCGAACGCACGCAACGGAACGAGGAGACGAGTGAAATCTGATCTGTCGACTTGTGTTCAGCTGACCTCGCATTTCCTCGATTCCCCTGAATACTGACGAATCATGAACTTCGTTCGACTTTAAAATCGATGGAATCCATGACGGTATTTCCTCCGGGAGAATTAATTGGGTTCAGTGTCTTGGCGAGATGAACACTGGCGGCATGTTAGTCCAGTCCAAACGGTTATTTAATGGCGCTGAATGAATTGCAGAATTCATGTGACGTGAAATTAGAAAATGCTGAATCTCACGGGATGTGAAATGAAACATTTCTGATGTTTAATCGTACAGTTCCGGGACTTCATGAAGGAAATGGCGGAAATCACGAACAACCTATGAACACTCTCGTCCAAAGATTAAGAAGAGGACATAATAATCTAGTCCGTACCTCTAAGAAAACAATTCTTCACCATTGCAAAGATCAAATAATTAATTCTGTTTAAGAAAATTATCGCAGTTTATTCCAAGAACCAAACGAAACCCATAAATACAAAATACATTACTGATAACAAAACCCGGTGGTTCATATAATTACCAATGGCGCTTTAAACGGCTAAACGTACGGATAAATTATCCTCCATTCTAAGCATCACACCAAACTCGCAATGGAAGATCCAAGGTCGATTTCCGGTCAGGTACAGGCTATTTTCGTGTTATACGTTTATTACCTGTGGGGAAATCCCTCCCGAATTCAACATACTTTATCAGCGATGGGTCACGTGACTTTTTTTTTTTTATAATTCTGTACAACTACACTTTTATTTTCAGAAAACGAAAAGGAGCGCCTAGTGCGGTCGTGGCTGGAACCACCCTCAATCGGAGGAAAGGCGCACGTGAAGCTCCACATCCTGGAGCAAGAAGTCATGAACGTCCCAGTGGACATCAACCTGGGACAATGGTACCACTTCTGTCAATCTTGGAGTAACTCGGCCGGGAAATGGGCCCTTCACGTTGACGGCAAGCTAAGTGCTGCCGGGGACGACTGGAAGGTAACTTTTGTAAAGTTAAAATGTAAAGCTGAAGACGACCGTCTTCTGAGTTGCCTCACCGTGTAGTCTCGTAGACATTTACCGTGGTTTCAGAGGCGTCTACTGTATCCATAACTACCAGACTACACGGCCAAATATCCAGATGACCATCTTCATACTCGCTAACGTGAGAATAAGTACAGTTAGTCCCATAACGATTGTGGCGTGAAATTAACAGCTAGAAGACGGTGGTCGCTGTAGACAGGACACAACAAAAACAGTTTTTGCCCTCAAACATACAAATTACATCGTCTTTCACACAAAACGCAAAAGGACAGAAATATAACAATTTACCCATATCACATAGGCGACATTTTCCATGAAAGGCAATTTCCAAAAGCCACATTAATCTATTATACCAGAAAGCTAACTGGCTGGGACATATTATGAGAAGGAATGGATTACTGAGTGATGTCATCGAAGGCCAGGTTGAAGGAAAGAGAGGACTAGGAAGAAGACTGATACAGCTAACCGACGATCTTAAACAAGGAAAGAAGATGAAGTTTCAGGAGTTAAAACGAGAAGCTGAGAACAGGGAAAACTGGAGAGCTCTTTTTGGGCAGAGCAATGGACCTGTCGTCAGACAGAACACTGAATAATAATAACAGGGTGTTTAAAAATCCCTAAGCATACACCCGGCCCAGGTGGCGTCAATAAGACAAAGGCAAGAAAAAATACAGAATAGTAGTAAAACAGTGAAAAGAAACCGAGTAGAGCCGGTTTCTGCTCTCGAGCCACTGACTCGACGTTCCCACTGTCCGTTCGTTTGCCAGGTAACGGATTTACATAAGACAGAAACGGGAATAAACTTATATGACCTCAAGAAGCGAACCAATCGAATAAATATTAACAGTTTGTCAACAAATCGATATCTTAAAACAGAAAAAAAAAATCACCTTCACGTAAATCACACTATCGACTCGCCCGCAAGACTTTAAACGCGATTCAGAAGTGAAACGTAAGACAGGTGTTTTCAACATGGCGTAGCCAAGACTTCCGCCGGGACCGTTACGAGCCGCTCTTAACGCTACCGCAAGCCAAGTAGTTTGTCCATATACATACATATCTCACACGTTAAAACATAAAGATGTTTTCAAAAAAATGCGTTCCAGCAGATTCACACCGCACAAACCCAATTTACACAATTTCCCTCGCTTCGAATTTGCAGATTGTCTATATCATACACTGCTCGAGGCAAACACAATTGGCATAATTAAGAGCGAAATTCAATTTACAGACAGATACGAACACAGAACAATACAGAATTCCTCTAATACAGAAACTGTAATTGAATTGGAATTACGTGTTTCCTGAGAACATGGGACAAAGACCTCGTACCTACAATGGAATCTGCGAATCCCTGATTGCGATTCCAGCGACCGAAGAATAACTTAAAACACGTTGAAGAGTGAGATCCCAGGTTTTCACAGTGGCGAATATAAAGATGACTTATCATTTAGGTTACTGAACCGTGTAGTCTGGTAGTGAAGTGAGGCAGAAAACACCTCTGAAACGTCTGTAAACTTCTGCTACACTACATACTGAAACAACTCATAAATAACCTTCACGGACTTCATATTATTTTCTAAGATTAATGGCGACTGTTGGAATCGAACCTGGGACATTTTAAATCAAAATCTCAGTTCAATAGAAATTCGTCGCTACTAATCTTAAAAAAATAATAAAGATGTCAGAATGACAACCAATAAATTGAAGACCGGCGTGAGGACAACTACCAAAACGTCGTATACATCAAATATATATTTTACTAATAAATAATAAGATTTCGTTTGTGGTTAAAAAGGGCTTCCCTGAGCCTTCAAGTCAAGATGGCTGTCGTCTGGGATACTGCACCGTGTACTCTGATATTGACCAACGTTTCGGAGGAGCCATGATTAAACGGCCTGATGACGGAGGCAGTAAAGACCTCTGAAACGTTCATAAACGAGATTACACGGCGCTAAAATCCAGAACACAGCCATCTTCAAACTCGTAGGAACCTTAAATCCTGTTTATAAAACTTCTTTTTCTTATGATTTTCACGAACAATTTAAAACTACCAGCTTACCTACAAAGCGATCGCAAAAGTGTTTCAATCTGATGGCAATATCTGATAAACCACTGCAACAACGCTTAAGAAATCTGGTACAGCTGTTCGTTTCAAAAATAATATACAAGTTCCGCCCTTACGTACTGAAAATTCAAAAGACGTCGACGACGCGAACATTTGCCGATATTTTCGGTAATGTTCTACCAGGGGATAGCTGGTCAATGGCGGTCACCTAAAAGACATGACATGACATGACAAAGACATGCAACCAGCTTGATAAATGTACCAGAAGCAAATGGCGGAATTCGCTTCTGCACTTCACTGAATCAACTACTAGGTGGCAGCACCAGCTGAAAGAATCTATCTGCTAGCGTCTGTAAAAGACATGACATGACATGACAAAGACATGCAACCAGCTTGATAAATGTACCAGAAGCAAATGGCGGAATTCGCTTCTGCACTTCACTGAATCAACTACTAGGTGGCAGCACCAGCTGAAAGAATCTATCTGCTAGCGTCTGCCAGAAAAGTGATTGACCGCCATTTCCCCGACATCCCTTAATAATCTCTATATGCTACTACAGACATTTTTCTCTGCGAAATTCACAGACGAGTGACCTGGTAATTCCTGGTGGAGGCGACGCAGTGGTGGGACAAGAATACACGGACTTCGACAAGGGCTTGGACGACGGCATTGAAGGGGAAGTCTTTGGTTTCAACCTTTTGACCTCTAAGCCAAGTGTTACCCGTGACTCTCAAATTCTTTCCTGGTCTAAGACCCGGAACAACGCACTGATCGTCCCTCAACCGCATTACCAAGTGAACAGTGCTAAAACGCCCAGCTGGGCGACCTTTCGATACCCTCAGTTACTACAAACAACGTTGAGAGGGCTTCCTCGTGAGAAGAATCTGATCAGGTGGCCCAAAGACACAGTATTTTCATGGAAAGCGTTAAGAGGCAATCCCGGTTCATCTAACATCAAATGGCCTCAAGACAGAACGTCAGAGACGCGAGACGCAGATGTCGACCTAGACCCTGGACTCGAACTGGTGAAGAAAAGCTACAGCCACTGCGCTGCGAGGAGAGGCTCCCCGGTGGACGAGAGTCGCCTGCTGATCGCGTGGGCCAGAACGCCGGTCAGAGTCTTTGGTGGGGCGATCATCACGACGGCTAGGCCCGTATGTGGGGACTTCTAGCCATTAGGTGTGCCATAACACTTGTTTATCCGCCGCGACAGACACAGCGCGGTCTGTCTGAGGTACCACACAACTCACAATCCCATAAAGCAGTGGTAAGATATTCTCTCCGTTTGCCAAAGTACCCCTTAAGTTCTTGTGCACCTGTAATAATACGTGATTCAAAAGTCCCTGTGGACACGGACGTCATAGGAGGTGACCCTTGACCTTGACCTCCCACTTTCCTTCACAAGCTGTGCCGCCGACGGTGAGTTCTTACAGGTTCAAAAAGGCCTGAACAAATCTTAAAGCTGCCCACTTTAATTCTTGTGCTGAGGTACAGAATTTATGTTGATATACTTCGACATTCTACCACAGCTCGAAGATGCTGTGCTTTGGTACAGCGATAATTTCTCTTGGTATTATTACTATTGTTTTTAATATTATTACGCACAATGCTGGATACTAGATGTCATTCAGATACACAAATAAAATGCAAACACGACATTAACCATCAATATATCACATATGATGGACATCCTATTGTAAAATAAACGAGTTCATGTTATGCAATAAAATTACGTTTTAAAATATTACTTTCTGTAAGGGTTTAGCGATATAATAGTCCTAACCGTCAACAGGATATCCCAAAGATATGTATATATAATTATTTGAATCAAATAAAGACATTTTAATAAACTAAACCACTACACATGCCAGCACTGGCGGCAACTATAACTCTATCTAACGGGCCCTGCATTTCAGGTGCATTCTTACTTGAAAAACGAAGGCAGAGCAAATCACCAAAGATTTTAAACAGCAGAAAATAGACATCGCAAAAATCGCTTACTCAACACAGTCTCGCCGAGAAGTCCAATATAATGAGAGGTATAATACAATATTCTGTCAGCTTCGTTAAACGAGAGACTTTTCACTGCCATTTGTCTTGGCAATATTATCTTTGGACCATTTTACTTCGAATAACCCACGTTTCTAACTAAAAAATAATTAACTATACCAACGGTAACCAAGCTGAATGCTTTAAGATCACGAA